CACGCACTGCACATGGCAAATAAATAAGTAAATAAATAAGTTACAAACACAATATGTTGCCTCTTCGCCAGTTTGCCGCCTTGACTTGTGGGTTTTCCCCCCTCTGGTCGCTTCATTGGGAGTCCCTTAACATTGACTGTTTGCGGCCTGCTTGGTCGTTGATGTCTTTTCTATTAACTTTTGGTACGTTCAACACTTATGCTCGTAATGTTAAAGTCATATAATATTTGTGTGAAAGTCTGTTGGTTTTTTTTTTTTTTTTTTTTTTTTTTTTTTTTTTTTTTTTTTTTTTTTTTTTTTGTTATTTACATGACGCACACAACAAATATTTGACTACAAGACAATATGTTTATGGTTATGTACTTTGTGTGTTTGTATGTTTTTTATAATCATTAATTATAATTATGGCTTAATATGGGACTTTAAACTGTAGTAAGCTTTAGTTAAGTCAATACTCTAGCTCCCATACACTTGAAACAATTTTTGGATTATTTTATTGGGAGAGCAGCTGATTGTAGGATAGGTTATGGTAGAAGCGCTTGGAGACATTTCTTGTACTAGGAAAGGTTGATCTCAGCAAAGTTTGGACTAAACAATTCCAATTCTGCTGTAGAACTTAACAGCTTAGAGACTTAACTATACTTTGTTGTAGTGATTTTTGCAGTAAATGCAAATATGGATTTTCGGAGAATATTTCGACTCGACCGCCGCGGGACCTTTACCATTTTAGTCACTTTGTTATGAAAGACATGCCTAAACGTGGGTCAATTCTTGAACCCTAACCCACAGGGGTCTTAGTTTTTGCCCGCTTTTAGGAAGTCCAAAAGTTAATTACAACTTGAAGTCTAATCTTAGTATAGTTGAACAAAATTGGTTACAAAAACCACCTTTGAGAATGAGCTTTGGCTTGTTTATTAGACTTGACAACTGTTCAAAAGTGCTGTGAATGAGAGTGGGCACAGAATACACCTTCGAGATATGTTAGCCACACCTCACACAACTACTAAATTCGAGATCATAGAGAAGAGCCTGTTACAGAGAGTCAAACAACATTCAATGCTCCTTTTCCGATCATGGCGATATCAGAATCCAATAAAGAAAATAATAGAGTAGGATGGGGGTGCTGAAAAAAGACAATGTGATCAAAAACTCTTTCCAGATCGGATCGAACGACCTAACCATGTGCTTCCTTTACTTCGGAGTGGACTCGTAAGGCCCAGCAGCCTCCTTTGGTGTGCATGGATTAAAGTTCACTGAATTTTCTGATGTACGATAATACGTTTTCGGAACTGCTACGGAAGACTTCGGACCATAACGACTATCTAGCTAAAGTTAGATTAGTTTGCCAGATGGATAAGAAGATTCCAGATAAACATGAATTAAAGTACTTTTCTATATCACCCTTTATTCGGCACTTGTTGGAAAGCATTAAATATGACAAATCTTATCAGCCGGTAAATGGATGCGTTCTAGGAATTTTCAGTGTCAGCCATACATGAGCTGGGCAGTTCAGAAGAAACAGTATAATTAATTGCATCTCACCCTCGGAAAAACTCGTATAGTAGGTAACCAGAAAAATAACAACCTTCACTGTGTGTATTCTAATTGGGGAGAACCCACGGCCAGTGAAAAGTCTGCAGGGACCTTCTACGGTCAGCCTTGGGCCAGGAATCATGACGCAACCACGCACGTGAAAAAGCTGGCCCAGAAGTCCACCACGCTGAAATTTCTTCTTCATAGTTCTGGGAATTGTGATATTCACATTTCAAGTATATAAACTCAAACAATCTGCAAAACTCCGGTCCCTTTTACAGCTTCCTCTAAATTCATAAAAAATAACAGAGAAAAAAATTTTACCTTCCACCATTTCCCGCCTCGGCTCAATACACTTGTTTCTAATTTATTGGCCAAAGCCCTAAACCATCCTGCCTTCCTCCTAAGTCAACTAAAGAACACTTTCCTTTTTACACACAACACCACGAAATTAAATGAGGTGCTAGCTAAACAACAAAAAATGTGAAGAACTACAGCAAAGAAAAGTAGCCAAAAAGAGTGGACACCACGGGGAAGCCGTCGGTGAATGGCAACCGGCCGTCCTATGCATACATACAAACATATGGCACAATGGTGCCCACAGAAGTGCATACAACGCATTTTAATTATGGTGACAGAAATAAATAAAATTGACTCGGCTGCACGACGAGTGCGAAGACAGCTCTAGTAGTGTTCTCGTTGCACCAAGTGTATGTATGTATGTGCATCCATAGTGTATCCAAATGAAACGAAATAAAATAGCATTAAACAAAAACTCAAAAGCCAAATGCTTTGTTGAAGCATTGAAATGAAGTGGAAGTACCGAAGCCCGATGTACGAGCAGCGCAGAAAGATACAGAGATATATACGTAACTAAGTATGTATATGTATATACATAAACTCCCCTCGTCATACGGGAGATGTGCGGGTTGAGTTGGGCGGTATTTTGTGTATAAATATAAGCGAAACGGTGTATTGGCTGAATGGCGAATAATGGCAGCAAAGATGCAAGAGGCGCAACATCCATTTGCCGAAGCACAAAAAGGCAGATTTATATATTTGAATATGTTTTTTTTTTTCATATGTACATTTGTATGCATGTATGTACTTGCAAATTCAGATATAGTTAAAAATACATGCACAAATTCTCTTACCTATATACTTGTGTGTGTATTGTATTGTACATTGTATGCATGTGAATCTCGCTCTTTTTTTAGCTGCAACTGCCGCCGCTGCAAGTTATCTACCTGTATTGACTCTCCATTGAGATAAGGAATACATACAAATGTCGTATGTATAGGTGCATATGCATACGAGAGCGACAATACGTGTATGCGCTCGAAATTCTCTCAGCTGAAATCTCGATATCTTTTTTTTGTGCTCTCGAGCAATGTTCGCCGCATATTTCTGTGGCTTTGTGTATGCGTGTTGTGGGTGTTGGTAGCACTTTATTTGTGTGCGTATAGCCGAATTTTCTTTCAAAACACCAATGTTTTGTGTATCCAAAAAATGGCATAACAGTAGAAAATCACAAAAAATGTATTTTTTTTATTAAAAAATCTAAAAAAATGTGAAGGAGTTTTGAAAATGTTTAATCGTAAGCAAATATTAAGCTTTCTGGAGTGTTTGGAAACCCAACTTCTCCCGCCAAATTTTTCTATTGATTCGTATTGGGTCACAGTGTGTAAATTTGGCTGATTTGTTGTCGAAAAAATTAAATGAAATTTATGCATTTGTAGCAGCTGTCCACCCCTGTTTGGGTGGGACTAGCTTAAATCATCGTTAGTTGTTAGTGTCATGCGGGGTCTCCTGACACTCAGGGCATACATTGGTTTACGTCGAGGGAAGTCTAGATAAGGAGCAGTTTAGTCGATTTCAATATCCCTTTCTTAATTGCGCCAGTATTACTCGGCCCGTTTGAGGCAGCTCGAGCTCAACGTTCGGCATGGGTGGTGACTGGATTCCGAGAACGCGAGTTTACCCAGATTTTATCCAGTCAATGATTGACAGGTAATTCTGGTCTATAATATTAGATCAATTATTTTGCCTGGATAAATTAGATTTTTTTTGTATGAAATTATTTAAAAAAATCCCTCAGCACCTGGCACAATTTTACCTCAGTACGGTATTATTCTAGTAATGTAATTCGACTTTAAATGTCAAAAGGAAGCGCCAAATGCTACGAATTATGGCTCAAAGCTTAAAAGTTAAAAGTTTTAATCATTCCGCAAATCCAGACAAAGTTACGGTTTTTTGGAATAGATCCATCCCATGCACATTTCCCGCAAAGTAAAGTTTTAACCTTTGCAAAGGACCACTTTCCGGAAGAAAAAGTGTGCCCGATGTTAAGTTTGGCAGAAAGCTTCGCATGAACGTTTTAAAAATTAATTCGATTTTTTCGAATACAACCCTTCCAGGTCCAAATCCTGGAAAATCGTTTGTAATCGGATACTATGTCATGTGCAGAAAATACCCTCCTAGCCAAGCGTTTTATATATATAAAGGCACTAACTGATTTTCTAACATGCTATGTTCAAGCATTCATATTAACCACTGTGCAACGTTGAAATCCATCACTCGTAAAGAAAGCCGAAATTAACCCATAAGTACATACATATTTAATTACGAAGGGCACACAATGTGGAGAGAAATAAACGCTGCATCACTCATTGTCCCGAGTCAGCAAACACTGACTGAGCAAAAGAGCTATTTGTGGTTGCAAAGAGAGTTCGCCAAGTGTGACTATAGGAATGGGAGAGTGCGCGTGCGCATACCAAAGGTAAGCCGAGAACAAGCCAGCAGGAGCGATAGCGAGAACTGCATAACTACACTCAAGCGTGTGGATAATTTTTTAAATTTTCTGGGCGAGCGTTTTTTTGTAGCCAACTTTGTATATTTATTTATACGGCTTTTTGTGTATCTTTTTTACCAACACAAACGCAGTTGACTTTTTATACTTTTACAGCGAAGCGCATGCACAAGCGGTGTGTGAGTGCATTACTGCTTGCAGTGAGCGCCCGTTGACTGTAGACCTGTGGTGGATGACGGTTGCAAGACACACACAGGCGCAGGTGGAAACGTTGTATCTATGCTGCTATACGTACGCACATATGGTGGCTGTGTGAAGTGCATACTTGGTAGCGGTGAGCACAATCACTTCTGCTAAGAGAGATTTTTTCACTACTGCACACCCACTTACATATGTGTATGCGTGTGTGCGGTAGTGGCTGAAGCGCAAAAAAACGTTGCTCGTTTTACTCTTGGCCGTTTGCGCTCGCAAGCGCTTCCCGTCTTGCGCTGTCAACGCCCCGGCGCGTCCCACCGCTGTGTTCCCTGAAGTGTCCACATTCAACGCAAGCTCATAAATAGCTGCGCTTCTGTCGTTATTGTAGTTGTATTTGTTGTATACATATACATATCGGTGGGTTTTTTTTGCTTAGCCATTGCCTGGCTCGCCTGCCTGTGTTTTTCGATTTTTGCCGCGCTCGTTCAGCTTCAGTACGTCGTTCACATTTAATCCGTTCGGTAGGGCTGACACGGTTCTCGTCATAGTTTACTGGACACTGTGTTCTTATTATTTGTATTTTATTTTTGATTTTTTAGGTTTTACATTTAGCCAGTTTTTGCGTTGCGTTGCGTTTGTGGCGCTTGCTTGCCCGCCTGCCTGCTGTTTTGTATCTTTGTATCTGTTGTTTATTTTTTAGGAAATACTTTGATGCGCTCGCGTTTTTCGCGCAATCGGTGCGATATGTTCCTTTTTTCGGTGCTCGGTCGATCGGTGTTTGGAACGTTGACATTTGCGGGGGTTTTGTGTGCGTGTTTGAGTGTGTCGTGTGTGGTGGAGCTGATATTGTTTGGCGGCTTGAAGGGCGCACACTAGCTTCGTTGCATTGCCGAATTGTAGATGTGACCGCCACCATCACTGCCACCACCAGCGGCATAGGAACCATCAAACTCAGCGCTGATGTTGTGGTCGCATCAAGTTGGGAGCGAAGGTGGCGGACGCGCATACTTTGATGGGCACCGATATTTTTTTCTGTGTTGCCGCCTTTCCATACGGCTGCGGTCAAGCTGCAGCCCAAGCGCTGGGTAGTTTGGCGAAGAAAGCTGGCAAAAAAACGAAACAAATGTATAAAGGCTGAGTTTACATTGCTACCCGCCTACTTCGGGTTGTTCGGCGATTTAATTGGGGGAAATTAAAAAAATGAGTTTTTTTTTACTTTTCGCTATCAAGCGCGGAGCACTGAGTGGCTGTTATTGGCGCTTGTCACTAATTATTTTTTCTTCGATTTTATTATTGACGCCAGTGAAAAGGAAAATACCAAAACCTTGGGCTGCTGTTGGAAAATTGAAAAACTGAGGGCGCGTGCTTGATGCAAATGCACTGCTTGCACTACTTCCTTCACCAAAAAAAAAGACTATGTTTCAAGTGCCTTCTAGTGAGAAAGACGATTTGAGAAACTCCGTGCCTCAGCAGCGCAGCATATGCGTCGAGTTTCTGTACTGTAATGCCTGCAGGTTGCGAGCTTCTAAAATTTAGCATCATGCAAAACATCATTACTTCCAACCTCTCGCTTCTAAAACCTCATCAGCCACATCGAAACCTAAACAACCGCGCCAGACCCCAACCACCGCTTCACCAGATCGCTCCCATCTTCATTTCATGAGCATTCTACCCGAAAAAAATAATCCAGCGGTCTACTTTACCAACCTTCTTCTTCCATTCAGCCAACGTACAAAAACAGCACAGCTACAAGCTGGTTATCCCAAAAAACGAAACTCTGCATTTATGTATTTATATATATGTATGTGTACGTATGTACGCCAGAAACTTCGCATATCTACTTGTATATATCTTTTTGTAGCTCCACTCCATGTACCCAACATACCTCTGACCCCTACCCGCTGCCGCAATACCAAACCAACCGCAGCTATCTTTTACATGCACGCGCTCCATCCCATCAGAGACACATACACACGCACATATTACTTCACGTACACGCGCCACTCTCTTGCCACTCATGCCCTCATACATATACATGTTCGTGTATACACTCAGTTTACCAAAGCAGAGATACAAAAAAATTTTCGGGCGCCGTCGTTACCTTTGTCCACAACGCTTCAACAACCCAACCGCTGTATATACGTGCGCGTCCCTTGCCGCACAGCCGCCGCTCACACAGCTCAAATCAGAGTGTATCTACCAACGTCGTTTACTTTATGCCTATGGTGTTGTTTGTTGTTGTCGCCCGTATTTCAGCTCTTGCTCGTGTTGTTTTCGTTAGCATTGCCTGCCTGAGTTGCTACTGTATGCCGTAGTCGTGGCCGCCGTCGTCGTCATCGTCATCATCATCATCATCACCATCACCAACGTAGTCGTAGTCGTCGTCATCGTCGTCTCTGTCTTTTTGTTTGCTCGCAAGTTTTGTGGATGTGGCCGCGCGACGTACGAATACTTTTTGCTGCTACTTTTTGCCTCTATGCGACCAACTGTAGGTTTTTTGCGTGTTTCTTTCTTTTTGCTGTTGGGGCTTTTTTGTGTGCCCCAACATGCGCTGTTTGGTCTTTGTTGCTTTGTATGTTGTACGAGCCCCCACCGCCACCGCCTTCGCCTTCGCCATCGACAAGTTTTACTTGAAAGTAACTCGTATATGTTTTGGTGCTGGTGCTGCGTTTGCGCCAACCGCCGCTGCTACTGCTGCGGTCGTCCAATTTCTGTCTGCCGGCGAGCCGTTTGCTGTTCGTCGACGTTGTGGCCGCCGTAGTCGTTGCGGGTTCTTGAGTGTATGCAAAAGATTTTTGCACATATTCATCTTTTTGGCCGTTTTCGGTGCGTTTCGTTGGGCGCGCTTCTTCGCGCAAAAATTTTTATATTTTCCATCTCTCAAGAAAAGATACACTACAAAAGCACAATACACAAGAAAATTTTTTTCTTTCTTCTTGAGGCAAACAATTTTTCACTTTTATTTCTTTCGGTCTTTGCCAAAAAGAAAAATACAAAAAAATCGCACAGAATTGTTGACGATTGTGACGACGATGATGGTGTTGTATTTGTTGTTGTAGTTCTTGGTGTTTCGACACGATGGTTCCTTCCTTGGCGCGTTTCTTTACGTTGCTCGCGCTTACCGGCAGGCAGTATCTCGACTTTTGTACTGACTTTTGGTTTGGCCTGGAGAAGAATGCGAGACACATTTTCGGTGAACTTAGAAAATTTTTGGATTTGTGTGTCTTTGTCGGGAAAAAAATCAAACACAAGCGAAAAGCAAAAACAAAGGCATACGAAAGTGTGGAGGTGCTAAGAAATTGAAAACATAAATACTAAATGTTGAGTTAGAATTTGAAATGCGTGTGGATTTGAAATTGGAAATGAACGGACTATTACAAAAAAAATGAAAAAAATATAAAAAGAGTAGGAAAAGTGAACAATATAATATATAAGTGATTAAAATGTGCCTGAAAAATAATGTTTGAAAGAAATTTTATAAAAAAAAAGAGATATTTAACTGTAATAAATAGAAAAATAAATTATCAAATGAAATTATCTATAATAATAGTTTTTAATTCGTTCTTAATCATTTGAAATGCAATTGGATTTTTGTTTAAATAAAAATAAGATTAAAATTTTCAAAAATCGGAAAGAAAATACGAAGTGAAATTGAGAAAAAATATGATTAATAGGAATATAATATGGTGTAATAAATTAAAATCAAAGAACCTAACAAAGTCTAACAAAAATTATGAAAAATGAGGAAAAATGTAAATATAAAAAATAAGAGCGCTAAATAATAAATAAAATAAGAAATAATTACAAATATTTGAAAAGAAATAAAAAAAAATTTTTTTTTTTAAATTAAAAACGCATGTAAGAAACATACGACTACGGAATGAGGATCAAAATCATATCAAAATAATCTGGTGTCTCCGATTTTAATATTGAATTAATGAATAAAATTTAACAATTAGTAGCGAATTGAAATTCATTGGTCTATTACTTGAAATTAAAAATCAATTAATTTATTTTGGTTCAAAAATTTTGCTTAAGCTATTTTTTATTAATTGGAATATTATAACTATTTTAGACAAATTCTGAATTTAAAACTCTTTGAAATATTTAAATACTCTAAACTCAATTTACCCAACGACTTAAAAGATAAATAAATTATACTATGTATTTTGAATAAATGTAAGGGATAAGATTAAAAAATGCTTAACAAATTCCGAAGGTAGAAATTTAAAAAATTCTGGGAAGGTTTTCGGAATTTTAAATATAAACTCGCCAGAAACTAAAGAAATTTAAATTTATTTGAAACCTTTGGAAATTCAGTATGAAAATTTTTAAAACGACAAAAGTAAAAAAAAACTTACGAAATGTCCAAGAAAAGATAAAAAACAAAAAATTGTAAACTTAAACTTAATTAGGGATGTATGTTTTTTAAATTAATCTTATTTATAAAAAAATTAATAAGTCAAATAAAGAACATTAAAAATAAACAAAAGAAAATTAACGATTTAAAACTAACTATCTCCTGTAAATTAAACAAATATAACCAAACAGTAATTTTTTTAAGTAGAAGATTTGAAAATTTTATATTAAAAATAAATTTAAATTTAAAAATTCTATAAAAAATGAAACAGAAAAAACTAGAAAACTATTTTTGAAATTACAAAATTTACCTAAAATCTTGTTTGCTGGAAAATCGAGAAGAGAATCGATATTAAAATTTTATTACCAAAAAATTTTTGCATAATTTTAAAATTTTTTAAACAATAGTAAAATGGTAACTCTCCAAAACACGTATGTACATACATCAATTTCGCCGTCGGCTTTTAAGAACGCCTAATTTTTCAATAAAGTTATGACTTAACAGAAAAAAATACATAACTATCATTTAACTTTAATTTTCTAAAAAATAAGTTAACAATGAAATTTTTATTAACTTTTTTATTTATGCTTCGTTTCAAAATTATAGAAGGTTAATAAAACATATTAAAATTATCAAATTATTAAGAAATGAAAATTATCTTAAAACAAAAGGCATAATACTAATGTTGATTTATAAAATTTTGATATTTATTAGTACAACACAAACAACAATATTTGAAATATATAAATAGCAATAAAAAAATAATCAAGAATACTTTATAAATGTAAAATAAAGATTTAATTTTTTTTCTGAAATTACAAAAAAATTTTAATATGAATAAATTAAAAGCTTAAATTTTCGAAATAAAGTTAAGCGATATTTTTTGTTGAGACAATTTAAGAAATACTTATAATGCTTTAAGCTTAATATTATATATTTGACTCGGGAAATAAAAAAATTAAAAAACACGCCATTCGCTTCAATGTTGAATCATAAACAATAAATAAAAATATTAATGAAAATCAAAACCTTTTAAGATTTAATTTCTAGAGTCTGCCGAATATCATATAAATTAATTTTGTTTTTTGGTAAATTACATAAAAAAATGTTATTCACGTTTAAAACACCAAAATATATGAATAGTTCAATTTTTCGCTTAAAAAATACCATAAATTTATCACTCAAAAAAATTAATAAATTTTTTAACTTAAAAAAAAAGTGTTACTTTTCCAAAAAATAGATAAAAGTAAAATAAATAATTAAAATAATAATTTAGGTAAATTAAGCTGCGCATCCACAAACAATTTTCAAATTTAATTAAACCCAATTGAAAATATAATTAAAATAAAAACAGTGGAAAAGAGTTCAATAATACCATAAGCAAGCAATTTTCAAATACTGATATAGACCAAGCACACGCAATGTTTTCAATTTCTCGCGCAATCTTCCACACTTTCGTTACCGGCAATCGTTCGGCCACCAACCGACCCCCCTATTCTGCGCTGCCTAGTATACATACAACAATATTCAATATTGTTGTTTTCCATTTTGCCTTAGACGAGCAACTATTGTACAAAAACAGCAATAGAAACATGAAACACCAACAAATGTACAATAAAAAGCTAATGGCAGTAGCAGCTGCGGCGCGGAGGTGGCAAAAAACAATCAAAGTCTCACCTTTTTTAGTAGTGTTGGTAGTACTGATGATGATGATGGATGGATGTGTTGTCTACGTTGGTGGTGGTGGAGTTGTTGGTGTATTGTGTATTGGTATTTCGCGCGTGATTAGAGCTTAGAAGGCATACTCATGCACATCTAGCTGGTTGATATGTGCTTTATATAGATAGTACATATGTATATTTCTATATACATTATATTTATATGTATGTACGTGTATGTACATGCATACATATATGGGCGCCTGTGAATGAACGGAAGTTGGCGCTTGGGAAATATAGATATTTTCGGCAAAAAAAGACAGTGAAAAATTCGCTTAAATGGGCGAAAGCTTAGAAAAATAAAAATCATACGTGCATGCATGTAATACATACGCATACATACATACATACATATGTAGACATGTCTGCAAGTGCTATTGTAAAGTGCAATGTTTAGAAGATGCATAGAATGAAAGATATTGCTAATATATTTGTACATGCCACGTTTAGTTGGTTATATTGTAGATACGTGTATGTATGTAGATATGTATACGTACGTCCGCATGCAGACTATATGATTCCAAAGCTTGCATTCGTGAGAATTTCTTACTAAATTGTTCGTATGCACTTATATACGTACATACGTATATTTATGGTATGGGTAGCTAATTTGCATAGTCTTGAGAATTTATCGCACTATTTAGTATGTATCATTAGTTATCGGAGATTTACAACTTCATTTCGAGATTGCAGATAATTTAGCAATCACGTACATCGCCGCTTAGGCAGCTATTTGACGGTATTTGTTTGAGATTTTCTCTTTAAGTTTCTCCAATTAGTAGCTTGAAAGTACTGCTTTGAATACATAGTCAGGTCTAGACAGAAACTAATGGTTTTAAATAAATAAATAAATAAATATTCATATGAAATTGATTTAGCAGCAAAGGATGGAATTCAATTAGAGAAATTAAATTGAGTTAAAAGTTTTAGTTCTTTCGGTTTAAAATCAAAATGCATTTGGAAAAATAAAAAGTAACAACAACTAAATTATTAAATTCCAATAATAAAGTTTTAGAAATTCAAGGGAAGAGAGAAAATTTGGTTTTTTTTTTGAGTTTTCAAAAAATAAATTTATGCAAAATTTAATATTTTAATGCACATATACAAATTTGAAAAGTTTGGTTTCAAAGTGAGAAATATACAATATTAATTTTTATAGAAAAAATATTAAATTTTTTTTAGATAAAATACAAAATTAAAAATTTTTTTTGAACATAATATTAATTATAAAAATTTAAACTAATTTTATAATAATAAAACAATAAATACTTTTCAACAAATAATGTGAATTCAATTTTTTTTAATTTCAAATTTATAAACTATATTTATGCGAAAAATTTCAAAACTGATAACAGGAAGAGGTTTTAAATGAAAAGCGAAGCTCTGATTTGCATATATAAGCTTTTTATTTTTCAAAACTCACTAATTATGTTTATAAATTAAATATTTTTTAAACCAAATAGAAAAATGTTGTTTTGAAATTCCCACATTTATATATATGCAAATAGTTATTTTTGAGTAATAATAAATAATTAAAGAAAAAAAATTGTCGAAAAAAAAACTTTTTAAACAAAATGAAGAATTAAATTATTTTCAGACATTTTTTGAAACCTAAAGAAAATTAAAAATTAAATAACTAAAATTTAAAATAGTTTTTTTTCCAATGAATTAATATTCAGTTTAATATATATAAAAAATTTTTTCAAATAACTTTCAAATTCCGACGAAAATATTATGGAAAATGGCGAATACTCTAATCGAATTTTTTTCTTTTCTTCCACTTCAAATAGAAAAACTTGTTGCTAGTTCCTTTGCAAAAAAATTAATGATTTCAAAGTAGAAGTTAAATCATGTAAAATTCCTTTATATAAAATTTCAGAAGTATTAAAATTGAATAAATATTTCATTTGATAGGTTTTTTGAACGCAAAAATAAAAATTACAATAAATTTGAAACTAAAAATAAATATTAATACAATTAAAAAAAAATAATTAATTTTAAATTGTTTTTATAAATATAAAACTTTATATTTTCAGTACCTATTAATGATAGAAATTAATTATTTTTCTCTACGCAAAATAATCAAATATATTATAATTTCAAAATACTTCTACACCAAATTTTATTTGCAAACAAAAATAAAGCATAAGAATTTCCTATTCTTCTAAACGTTCCACCTCCCTTTTAAATATACATTTCTCTCTTTTTCTTTTTACATTTGGCTGATTTTCTAATTTCCCTCTATCTCTCAACGTTTGGTACATTCATTTAACTAACAGCGACTGTCAAGTTGTTTTTACCCGATTTAGCGGCATTTTGAACTTGAAATTCTATTTGCTTTTCTACGGAGATACATATATGTTCATATAGACGAGTATACACAACTCGTTGTTATGTGTTTGCTTATTTGTTCGGCAATCGAGCGCGTATTCATTCACATTTCCACACTCGCCACTTCGTAATCCCTCTAATCCGCCACTAACACCGTAGGCACAACAACATGCGCCTACCAACACAGTGCACGCCTAAACCCTCACAACTCAAACATATAGTATATATCTAAGTTATACGCTCTGCGCTGCTAACTGAGTCGATGTGCTAAATCAATTGTGGCCCACTAAGCCGACAACACTACATCGTACCTCGCCCCCCCTGTGCAGTCCGCCCGCCTCAACACTTCGTTGGATTTCCCTGAATTTATTGTTGGTTGTTGCGTACCTCATCATCATCGCGTTCGAGACGGCGTCGCTACGTTACTTGTTTTCCATTTTCAGTTTTCCGTTTCCGCTGACTTGAAATGCTTTTCTTTTATTAGAGCATATTTTCTTTTTGTTGTGTTTGGGGTTTGCTTTGATTTGATTTTTTTTTACTATATTGTGCGACGTTTTCGTGGAAAACACAATGAATTTTTGGAGTTTTTTTTTCTGGTCTTCGTTGCAAGTAGTGCAAGGGACTATAAAAAATGCATTTTAGTGCAGAATTAAAGTTTTCTTGGTTTTTTTTCTTGCGTTGCGCTTAAAGTTCTCAGTATGATTTGCAAGCAAAATTTTCGAAAATGCTGCGCTGGCTTTAGTATTTCGATTGAATATAATTTTTTCAATTCGATACAAGAAATTCTTGTTTACGTCAGGGAAGGCATACACGTCTCTTTCATAAGAAAAAAATTAATAAAGTAAAAAGTACAGAAAGTTATATCATCAGAACATTAATAATATTACGGTGTTTTTTTAATAAAAAAATATTAGTGTGTCCTTGGAAAAAATTTTTAGACTATTATATTATGTCATGCCTTTTTTTTTAATTTTGCCGAGCATTCTTGACGGAGTTGCTTTAAGTGTAAAAAAGAGCTGGTGATTGGGCACTCAGAATCAGACATTGAACAATTTTTGGAAAATCTTAAAAATTTGTCTTGAGGCACATTTCTCTTTGCATAAATTAAAAAAGGGAATATTTTAAATACCATAGCTCAATTTGAACTCAAATGCAACAGGAAAAATTGAAGTATCCCTAGCATAACGGGTTTGCAAGAAAAAGTGTTTTCTAAGTAAAATATTTGTTCAACTAATTAAGAAAACTTTTGTTAACTAAAAACTTTGCAAAACAAGAATTCCGCACAAAATAAAGAAACTTTGAATAAAGTTATGATATTATGATTTATTATTTTATTTATTATTATTTTTTTTATTAATTTCAAATTTTTTTTTTAATTTTTAATTATGTTTATTTGTTTTTGTTTTTAATATCTGCTAATGTTTTACATTTTATGAAACCTTTCATATTTCACAGCTCTCTCTCTCTCTCAATCTCTCTGTATATGAAACATAATACTAATCTCACTCATTTTTCTCTTTATCCCAATTTACGTCACAGGTGCTTTTTGACTGTTTGGAACCTTTTTAATAATTACGTTGAAACGTTGTTGATTCTTATTATAAATATTGTTTTGTTGAATCTGAGGACGAACAAAAACAAAAACAAATAAAAAAAAGAAACAAATCCCAATCAATGTCAAGGAAACCAACACATATGGCAAGGCAACTCTAGGACAAACAACCAAAAAGGAAAAGCAAAATCAAAATCAAGAAAACAAAAAAAAGAAAACCAAAAAAACAAAAATTCCATTCAAACGCAAACAAAAACAACAAATCGCGATAACAACAACAAAAAAGAACTTATGTGCAATCGTTTTGTTTTTTCGTAATAACTTAATTAATTAATTAATTCAAATAAATAATTTGTAAATAACAACAATAATTTAAGTTCACTTTTGTTTATTTGAGTTTGTTATCAAATATATACTTATGTTCAAAGTCACGGTTGAATAAGAGAGAGAGAGAGAAAAAAAAATCACAAAATTAAAGTTTTTTTATAATAACAACAAAAAAAGAAATAACGCTCAGTTTCATTATATTCAGTTACAAATACAACAAAAAAGTGATTTTCTGTTAGTTTCTCAAAATTTAACAAACAAAATTTACAACAAAATTTGGATTACAACTACAACAACTACAACAACAACAACAACAACAACAACAACAACAACTGCAACCACAACAACCCAAAAAAAAAAACAAAAATAAAAATAAAAAATAACTAAGAATAATAACAATAACAATAACAAAACAACAAACAGTATAATAGCAACAGTAATACAATAAAGTAAAACAACAACAGCAGAAAAATAATAATAAATCACAACACAATTACAACTACACAACTCAACTATCGCAACTATTAAACAGCAACAGTAAAAATAGTAACAACTACAACTACAACTACAACTGCAACAATCAATAAAAAAGGTTAAATAAAAACGCAACTACAAAACCACAACAACAACAAACTACAGCAATAAAATAACAACAGTAACAATAATAAAAGCAACAATTACAACAGCAACCAAACAACAACAAATTATAATAAAAAACACAAATAATTAAACAATAAAAATAATAATAAAAACTAATAAATCGATTTGCAACCAAACCACAACAACTAAGCAATAAACCAATAAACTTCTCCCCCCTCAAAAAAAAAAAACAAAAAAAAAAACAGACAAACAAACAAAACCACACTACAACAAAAGCAACAGTAAATAATTAAATAACCAACGAAAGAAATAGTAACAGCAACAAAACCCACGAAAAACTAATTCGGCATTTCAAAACTTACAAAATTTAAATAGTAAATAACAACAATAGCAACAATAACAGTAATAATAACTACAATAGCAACAGCAACAACAACCGAAACATAATCAGCAACCGCAATAGTCAATAGAAACGAACAAATAAATGCAATAAATAGTATACTTACCAACAATAGCAACAACAACATTTAAAAAATAATAACAACAAAATATTAAATAAAACAGAATTTAATAAAGACCAAATCAAAAAATAATAATAATAATAATAATACAGAGCAGCTACCGTTAAAAATCCATAAAATAGCATACAAAACAAGCGAACCCAAAACTAAAAAGAAAACAGCAACAAAAAACTAAAATAGTCTCAAAATTTTCCAAACGCAATAAATCGAAAATAGTTATTGAAATAAATCAAACAAAAACAACAACAACAGCAATAAGAACAAAAATAAAACAACATCAGCAGCAACATCAACAGGAAAAAAATATAAAATCAAACATAAAACCGGTAAACAAAGCAAACAGCAAACAGCAAACAACAAACAACAAATAAAATAAAATAAACAGGAAAACAAAAATAGAAAAGATCGAAATAGCCAAAATTTGTTAAATTTTTAAACGAAATTTCAATTCTGGACAGAAATTGTGAAGAAAAATTTGTGCATTTTTATGGAGAAAAACTTTTTGTTGGGTATTTTTCGTGTTTAAAAAAAATTTTGTTCCGAACTGTTCTGAACACGAGTGTCAAAAAAGCCAAAAACAACAACAACTTAGAAAAAAAACCTCACATATGTGAAGAACAACAAAAAAGTGCAAGCGAAAAAAGTGAGTGAAATCAATAATGAACAGTTAAAAAAAAAAAGCTTTTAAAGCCAAAAGTTTGAATGCATAAATTTGCCTAAAAAGGAAATAAACATAAGAAAAGAGTGTTGGCCAATTGAGGAAAAAAACGAAAACTCCGCCAAGTGGAGCATATCTCGGAAAAATTGTGCGCTTTAACAGTGTTAAATACAGTGGAAAACAACAAAACAATTTTCGAACGGATTTGCGTCAAAAACGCGTTGCAAAAAGAGTGAAAAAAACATTATTTAAAAACGAAAATCGTTTCGAAAGTAAGAAAGACAAAAGCGTATTATATTTGTATGCGGCAACGGTATTTAACGGGGTTTCCAAAAAGGTTTACAAAACCTGTTGAAAAAAAATCAAAAAACCGTCGTTCAAATAAAGGGACAACACCGTAGAAGACAACAGACAACCACGTTGTAATATACCAGTTAAAGCTGAATTGGAAAAAAAAAATTGCATCAAAGCAATAATCCAAGAAAGAACTTAAGGTATTTGGTAAACCAAAAACAAAAAATTCAAAAAAAAAAAAAACATTTTGTATAAAATATTTTGGACACAATTTTTTAGTGTTAATCTAAAAAGAAATTCATGGATTCCCTAAGCGAATGCCAGTAAATGAAAATTGCTTAGAAATTATACATACACTCACTTACAAAAACAAAAAAGTTATGATTTATGAAATTCATACAAAAAAAAATGTTATTAATGTATTGTGGCACAAAATAAATATATAAGAAAAACAAAAACAGTTTCGGAACAAGCATAAAAATATTCCATTATATGCGTAAATAATTAATTAAATAATATAAACTATAAATCAACAAAAAATAATAGCGCAAGGCGAAAACTAATATAAAAATTAAGAAAATTCGTGTAAAAAAAGACAGAAAGTGAGAAAATCTCCGACTTTAAGAAAAACATTTTCGCAGCTAAAATATAGTTCAGAAAAATATTTGGAAAGCGAATTTCGAAAGGATTAAATAAGCGGCCAAGAACAGGTGAGAGCGGTGAATTATTAACTAATTATTTTTAGTTAAATTTTTTTTTTAATAAAACCATTCATATATTGCTTAGCAAAGTTTAAGCTGAAATCATAGCTGGATCTAGTAATATTTATTTATTAATTTAATTTTTTGTGACTGATATCTCATCTAATCTAAAAGAACTAGTTCTTTGCATATTAATGATGCATCGGCATTCGGCTTTTGAAAAAGCTGAGACATTATTTGAGCCGATCCAAAAGTATTTTCATTGAATTTTTCTTTTAACTGGTATTTTATCTGACCCAAAATAGCTGATAATTTACTAGTAGATATGAAGATGATACATCGTTGCGCCATTAAAAACAATAAAAGAAAATATGTAAGCCAGTAAAAATTGAGTTGAAAGTATATCATATATTCTTATTTATCGAAACTAACATTTAAATAACCCTGAAGCCTTGTATTAGTAAATGCAGAAACCTCGTGAAGCAGTTGATAATATATAAAATTTGAGTTGCAAAGAATTTCTTTACCTCAATTTAGTTGAAATAGTGTTTCCAGTGTTGTTGAACGAACTAGTATCTGACAGGTAAAAATTAATTAATCGTCAGGCTATGGAGTAGTAGCTTTTCCTATATATCCTATAGGTATTTATAGTTTTCTGATGCCTTATATAATATGTAATTTGCACTTTGTAACCGCTGAAGCGATTTTCGGTCGAGCTCCTACTTCTATTTGTGGTATGCGTTTTAAGGGGTTAGATTGGTCTTTAAACTTATAAAAGTCAATTTTTTGATCATTTTTGTATAAAACTGCAAAGTGTCAGGAATATTTTCCCAAAGTTTCAAGTTGATCGAGACGAAACTGTAGAAATTGGAGAGTTTTATAACCCACCGTCTTTGTCATGGCTTGACCGATGGCGAAACTTTAAGCCCATTTTCTTAAAATCACTTTTTCGAAATCGGTAGTCAAATATTTCTCAACGACTATTGAAGCGCTCGAGCTCAAGTTTTCCACACTTCTTTTAAGCTTGTTTGTGTAGTCCCTGAACGAAAGATTTATTTTATCTTTGATTTCAACTCATTATACAAGCCAATTTGTGGCCTAATTTTATGGAAAAATTGAAGTTGTTTGTAAAAAAAACGCTTGAAAAAATTCAATTTTTAATTTTTATAATTTCTGTTCATTCATGGATAGGGAAAATTCACCTTTTTTGAGAAAAAATTTGGATTTTTGATTTCACATAAAAATTGAAAAAAGTTATCATGACTACCGCAAAAGCACTTTCTTGTGTCGGCCTACTTTACGACACTGCCAACGCCTTCACTTACATTATTTTTCATTCAAATTTTCATCAAATGCTCTCCACATATTCTACTTTTATATGTAAATTAAATAAATTGGAAATTTTGTTTAGTATCTTTGAAATAAAAAAATGGAGAAAATAAGCTTTGTTTTTGGCCTTCAAGACCTATGTAACCCCTTAATGGATTTCGCCAACAAGTTTATTCAAAGGTGCCTCCAAATGGCTGATTGATTTTTATAAGGAAACTTTCATCTCGTGTTTTAGAAAAACAACCAGAGGGTTTGCCGGGGAGCGATAGCAATTAGAAAACTTACTTTTGAATGTTGGTCGAACCAAGACTCGAACCCTGGTAGGAATGGTATTAGGTAAAGTAAAAATTATTCAATTATTTTTGCATTAAATAGAAGGTTTTATTTACCATAGTTACAATTATCCGATTTATGTCAAATACGCACTGTTTTTTTCAATAACATTAAGCCAATTTGAGGGCGCATATCGACGCACCTATCTTCGAAACCTCCTTTGTTTCTATTGAAAAAAATTGGAACTGGAATGAATATTAGTCTCTCCGTAGATGCTTAAGAACCTTCCAAACAAGCTCCTGGAGCTTCTGGCGGGTTACTTTGAATATGTTTGACAACACCAGATCGTGCTGATGAAACACTATTGTCCTCTTGTTAGCCACATTATTCACTTCAAAAGCACTCCAATTGCAGACAGTTCAGGTCTAAATCAAGAGTGGATTATTACTTACTAATAATGACGGCTTGATGCTCTTCTACTAAAACTGCTTTTCCTTGACGTTATGTAAGTTTTCACACTTTTAACTTGCTAATCGAAGAGAAATTGTGGAATGGGGTGAGTTTTCACTTTGGTGGTGTCAATCCAATCGGACTTACAGATCGCAAGACAAAGATCTTTGAAGAGTTTTAATTTCTTTCGAAGAAGGGTTATTTTGGATAATTTTCAATTTTTTTTTTTTAAATAAGAAAGTTTTTTAATTCATAAAGAAATTTTAGTAATATTAAATAAAAATGTTATTTTAATTTATATGGATTTACATTCTACTTTGCTGTTATTTGCGACGTTATATTCGCTATTTTATTTACTCAAAGGATATACTCGTAAGCGCATTTACATATATATTCTGGATGCATACAAATATAAATGCAAATATATGTGTATATATTTTTATATTTGTATAGTTGATATAAATATGCGTATTGTACATATATATGCTACACATACGAGTACATACGCGTACATACGTATGTGATAAAAAAACTGTTGTTGATTTCCACTTTAATGACTAGCATTTAAATGCGGCAGTCGTCAGGCAGCGAACACACTGTCCATGCATATAATAAAGTTTCATTTTACAATACATGCACATATCACATATACATATATATGTATATGATACATGCATATGTACATATACGCGCTAAAAGTACAGTTGACGCACGATTTATTTAATGACATCTACATACGCACGCACAGGCGTACACACATATATGCATGACCACAGCATACAGCGACAACAACAGCCGAATCAAAATTAAGCCAAACGTAAAAATTAAAAAAAACACATTAAAAAATTAAAAAAAAAAAAAAAACAAATAAAATAAACAGCATCAACAAGCAAATGCGATGACCACCACCACCACCACCATGACTTTCATCATTACCTGTCCACCCAAAAATTGTTGTGCAGCAACCATTTTAATTTATATACATACATATAATATATACACTATTACGTACGCGAAAGGACATTACGCACACACACAACACACGCATAGAGGGACCTATAAGGATATGCGCGCTTTAGTAGCCAGGTTTATGTGGACTTTACGCGAAAAAAAAAAGATTTTAACTGTCGAGTGGCTGTGGTGGTGCACACACATGTGTATATGTGGTGGTGTGTGTGACAGGATATGTGAGGCTATTGAGTGCGCGCAAATTAAATATGAAGTAAATGAAAATAAAGGCAAAACAACATTAGTGTATACATATAAAAATGAAATGAAATGAAATAAAATAATATAAAATGCAATGGCAGTAGGAAATACAGCAAAAATGCTGCTGCTGCAGCTTCTACTGCTGCAGCTTCTGCTGCTGCAGCTTCTGCTGCTTCTGCGCTTAACCGTGGCAGTATGTAGTCGAGGTAGTGTTGATGGAGGCAATTTTTGTTGTTCGGTTGGAGTTGGAGTTGGAGTTGGAGTCTGTGTGTCAATGCAGGAACTGCGTAGTAGCCGGGACAACTGTTTTGTAAATTGACTGTTGTTGTCTCATACACACACACACACACACACACACACAACCCAGCGCTCATGCCTCAGCCGCTCCAAAATACAATACCTCCTTCTGCCCTCAGCGCTGAAACAATTTTTCGGCGTTGTCGAACAACATGTTGTAGGCTGGCATAAATAATCAATGTCCAATATAGCATACACATACATATATATGTGATGTTTTAACATGTTTCGAATTGTGTAAATACAACTGTGTATTATTTTTTTGCTGTTTTTATATGCAGTCGCTTGTCGGCTGCACACTTTTTGCTGTGTGTGTATATTCGGTCACTCATACGCCATGTCGGCTCATACTTGCAATTTCAATATATGTATATATTACGGAGTATATATTATTTATATACGAAAATTGCATTATATATACATACAAACACTTTTTTATATTATATACTTAAATGCCAGCTTTCACCGCAATATATATGCATGTGAGTGCATACATTTAGGCGTTGGGGCGTGACAGCAAATATATTGCCTCTCGCTTTTTGCATACTTATTTACTTTACCCATTTTATATACATCACATATGAGAACAGACACATGCTTGTATGCACTGTTATATGGGAAATTTAAATGATTACGCTTCAAGAGACAGCACCAACCTATCCGTCGCACCAAAGTTTGCTGCTAAAAGCTTAAAAAAAAATTAAATAAAAAGGATAAGTACTTAACTGTTGTTTTAACAACGCATTACAACACATTATGGCATTAACGCCATGTTACATTTTAAATAATCAAATACGCAAAAATGCTTGTTAAACTGAAAAATTTACGTTTAAGCCTTTTTAAAAATCCCAACAAGCCATTTTTGTTGTACGCTGACGCCGTTCCCTATCCCCCTACAATACATAAAGCTGCAAAAAAACAATATATAAAAAATGAAAATAGCAAGAACAGAATGTTATATATTCTCATCCTTCAATACCATCCAACATAATTATTTTTCTGCTGCCTACACCATCCTAAACGCCCAACCCAACCTCTGCCAATGACCACTTTTTTTTAAATTTTTTTACACCAACTGCCATCATTTATTCCTTTGTTTGCCCACACCGTGAGCGCCACTAATGACAACTTTAATTTACATTTTTAATTTCCGCTACACTTCAAATGTCCATTCATCCATTTATTCATTTATTTGCATTTTGTTATTTATTTTATTTTATTTTTTTGCTCTCCCTCACTGCTCTTAGTAGGGTTAGATACTCGCTTAGCCATTAAATTCTATGCTGGTGATATCAGACAATATATGCCATTAATATTTTCTCTGTTTAGAAATTCTATGTGAAAGAAACATCAAAGGCGTTTTAAAAAGATTTCCATATTTTTTTTTTTTTCAAAGTGAAAGAGTGAAAGAGTAAAACTTATTACAAAGCTTTCAGAGAGCTTAAGAAACC